CCCCAAAACCCCAAAACCCCAAAACCCCACATTAAAGAAATTAAAATTGAAATTTAATATAAGTACATATAAAATTTTCATAGCTGAGAATAAATTCTGTCATAATTTAATATCATTTATTAATGTCTGTAACTCACCTCTTTTATGATAATCCTCAAATGTATTGTTTATTAATTTCAATTTTGATCTATTTGTCTAAAATATCATGGAGCCTTGATTAAAATCTTAAGTCCAATCTTCATCTTCCTCATCTTACTCACTCAGAATATAAGATCTACCGTCATATATTTCTTTGGTTTGTTCATTTTTTGAGTTTATTTGGCTATTGCTATTAGAACCACTAATATGCTTTATCATAGTTCCACCGCTCTATGTATAGCTAACATTAGACTGCAACTCATTAGTCTACTGTCTGCCACTTGTCAGATTTGATCTTTGGTTGATGTAATTTTATCTGAAGCTGTCAATTCTTTCAATGGAGGTATTTGATTGCAGATCAGAATCAACAGTTAAAATCTTTTTAATAGTTGTACTGCTCATGATACTTTATGGTGCTAATCTTGACTTGGCATAATTAGTAGTGTTTAATCTGCCTCCTCGCTAGATATTATTGCTGATATTGCTATTTGAGCTATTATAGTTTCTTTCTTTGATGATTACCTGAGTGTAATTAGATGAGTTATCATCATCTATTATACTCCCATCACTTTCTTAATAAATAACATTCTTTCCCTTCTAAGTTGGTAGTCTCTTGATAGATGTAATTGTGTATTCTGATTCTTTGTCTGATGCTTAATCTTAATTTTTAGTTTGAAGTTTCATATCCAAGAGAGCTATATAAGTGATAAGAAATGTTGAAATGTACCTGTACTCACCTAGTCTAAATTTGAGATAGACCTTCTAAGAATTAGTTTATTACTTGGCGATAGCACTAATGACTACCTGATACTAGAATTATTATACTTGTCAGGTGTATCCTTGGTTATATCACTTGTATCATGTGCTAGACTACCTTTTTATTTTAAGCTTTCCCTTAATGATCTGATTTTGAATGCTTACGGGTCAAATTTGTTAACCTTTGCTACGAAGTTAACATCTTGAGTTTCATTTTTTGTGACATCTATATTTAACTTATTAATAAACTTGATATTTTACTAGAATTCTAAATTAGCAGCTTGAGGTAATCTTACTAGATCGTATCTTTCTATGAGTTTTTTCGATTCTGAGCATCGAGACAGCATACATTACAATTGCCCATTAACAAAATATATTGTAATTTTGGGAATAAATGTGAGATTCAAGATTATAAGTTGATAAATAAATTTAATGAAGGCTTTTAAATTAATTCTCAAATCAAATCATTAATAACTTATTATACTCACTCATACTTATTGATAATTCTTAATCACTCTTGACTTATTGGGATGTCCTATTTTATAAATGATTATTTTTGATGAATAGAGGATCTACTTTTGAACATAAGGCCAGCAGAATTATCTTAATTCTGAACATCCTTTTCAGATGCTTCCGTAGTCATTCTATTTTTTGAGCTTCCAGTGCCTCTTTCTTCATCACTGTTATAGCCCTTAAGTTCTTTCATTTGAGCAGCTCCGTTAGCATTTGAAGGTCTTGACTGTTTTTGCATTCTTTTCATCTTTTTAAGCATATCCTCCTCTTCTTCCTCTACATCATTCTCATCATTTTCATCATATATCACATTTTTATCCTGTTCTGGTTGATCTCCTTTTTTTAAGTCTTTGTAAAATTAATTTGTAAAGAGATTTTTAGCTCCTCTCTTTTAACTATTCTTAGATCTTAAAGATGCCTGGCTCATAGCTGCTGATCCATTTGAGGTAAATGACACAATCGATGTATTGGTTCTGTTATTTACATCAGTATCTTGATGCTTGATTGAAGTAAGTGTATTATTCATCTCACTTCCTGTATCTGACTCTCCTTAATTGGCTCTTCTTCTTATTACTTAAGTCATCTAAGATGAAGCATATGAACTATTCTGATCTAATCTCATGACTTAAACACTTGAAGTCTGTGAATAAAATGATGAATTATGTTCGCTGGTTTGAAATGCCTAGATATTTGTAGTATTACCAGATTTGTATGACTGCCCATCAATGACTGCACTGTTATCATCATCATTATCTTATATATCTGAAGTATCATCAATTATAATATTGTCTCTATTCTGATCTCTGTTTCGTTTGATGGGTTGATTCTTTGAAAGGATATTATCATCAATTATGTCTTTATTTTCTTCGTCAAGGTCATCCTCCAAATCCTCATTGGGATCTATTTCCACATTTTAGTTTAAAATATCTTCTTGATCTTGCTAAGTTTCATATTACTCATCATTTACATCATCTAAATTATTATCCTTGTTAGAATCTAAGTCATTCACCAAATCCTCTAAATCACAATGACCTCCTTCTTATCTGCTGAATTGATTTTTATAATCCATATGATACCCATCCAAATCAAATTAGCTCGCCAGACGATCATAACTTTCTCTCATATATCCAGCATTTCCTAGATAATGATTAGATGTTTGGGAAAATTTTAGGTCTTCACTTTTATCATTACTCATGTCTTCTTATTTTTTAATGAGGTTGAGATCTCTGCAAAATGAATTATTGTGCAAAGAATCCTATTTTTGCTCATTCTATAATAAGTTATCAGGCTCTTCAAAAATCAATGAATCCTACAATTTATTTCTTGATTCCTGCTATTATTATTCAATAATGCTCTTATTCTTCTCATAAATCTTTTCATCTAACTAGTTATTAGATGTCTCATGAATTTAATTTTCTCCCTGGTGATTTTAATTGAGTTCTATTTAGGTCAAACTTTTAAAGTCTATCCTATCCTCTATAATCTTGGATTTATTATCATATTTGTTAATGCTATCAATGCTCGCATTTTAGTTCTTTTAATTAGACTCAAAATGAGTTTATCTCTATGAGTCATTTTCCAATTCATTTTGAGATTGTTTGTGTAGGTTTTAATTATCATCTTTTATAATAGTGTTTAGAGAACTTTCTTTAATATTTTACGCTACTACAATACTCTATTAATGCTTTTAATCATCTAAATAATACGATTAGTTTGTAAAATTGTCAAAAATTTCGCTTACTCAACGTTAGTTTGACTGAGTTATCACTCTCAAAAGTCTGCTTTTTAAGCAAAATATCATTTGAATCATGACCTTATTTCTGTTTGTTTTAATGGGAATTATGATTTGAGTTTGAATTTTAGTCTGTTTGTATCTCAGATGGTCTTTTAGATATTGTTTGGCTTTAGTAAGTGTTGATTTCCTTCTCAAAATTCATTTCATTTTCTACCACTTTAGATGATTTTAAAAAGGATATTTTTAATTATTACAGAACTAAGCATGAGATGTTCTTTTTAAATGCCCACTTTTACGGCTCATATTGCTCTTTCTTCTAGATGGTTGAGTTTCATTATTGTTGAGACAAGCGCAAGAATTTCCCATTATTTGGCTTCGCTGACTTATATAATTAACTTATTACAAATATAATAATTCTTCAAATTTAATATTTACTCTATTTCATCTGATGGGGTTTTGGGGTTTTGGGGTTTTGGGG